TCTGGAATGAAATGAAATGAAACTAAATATGTTTAATATAATAATATTTCTGCATAGTAATAAATTGAAATTTAATTTGTCAAATGTTGTTCTTTTTTGAATCTATACTACCTTTTCGAAATGAGGTTCCTCGAACCGCAGAATAAATGGTGAAAGTGAATTCCTCCACTCCCTCATTATTTTTTAGAGTTCATTGGGAGTTTCTTACGAATCGATTTTCATATACATATAGCCCGTGGTACAAACATTGGATGGAGAGCGAAACGTCTGTTAAGAAAAAGTAAAATCGTTATGTTGACTCTTTGCCAGCCTTTTGTCAGGCATTTGCCAAAGTAAACACGCTTGGCAGGTGGGTTTAGCAATAGCAGTTTTTAATTATTAAGTTAGAAAGATGCTGTTTCCCATCTCCGGCTTTTGTTTCCCTCTGTCGCCCTTTACCTCATCCACGTGATGACAGGGGTAGTGGACGTTCTCACACCACCACTGAGATGGGTAGCTGAGTAGAGGGTCCTTATTTACCTCAATGTATAATGTGGCTATGCTCATATCGTAGATGTATATGACCAATCTTATTTGATAGATTAAGTGAGATAATTGGCAATACTATCTATACATATTACGCATAGCTAAAATCCAATAGTACCTAATCTGCTATTGTTCGAAAAAACCTTTTAGCCTGATTGGACTATCGGATAGTCAAAATCAGGGTGAAAGGTTTCTAAAGGTTAATATTTTTTTTAATTAACAAATTGGTGGTGATAGTGGCAGTATTAACGACTCAAACTACGTTTAAATTGCTTGTGCCTAACATTGAAGTGGTTCACGTCAGTAGTCGAATGACTGATTCGAACCTATTCTTAGTAAAACAGTCCGTACCCTAAACTAGTAGGCCATTGTCTTTAGTGTTTATTTTTATTTCTTACGTTTACATCGTCATACTGTTAACAGCTATTATGATTCATACTTTTATATGTGTTATTAGCATTAATAAAAACAACTGTGTTACATTAATGCTATTATTTATTCTGTGACTACATATGTGTGCTTAAGAGGTGAGAGTAAGTCAGCTCAAATTCTAATTTCGCCCCCACTTCCCCGCGCGTCGTATGCTATGTACCGACATGTTTGTAATCACTAATACTCTAAGTAGATAGGTCGTTAGATACTTATTTCATTATGTTTATCATATATATGCCTGTTTCTTAACGCCAACCCAGTCGCTTCTTATTTTTATAACGGTTATTTCCCATTTTAATTTTACGTCTTCCTGTTGCGTAATGTGTTTTCTGATCGTAAGCGACACAACTTCTCCCTTCAAAAGCCGGAGCAATACTAACGGAGCGACAGGAACCAAGCTTACGCGCCGATAGTTTAGATAATTTCTTTTTTACAGTGAAAATAATGATATTTTAAAAAAAGTAAATAACATAAGCACTGCTTTATGGTTAGTTCAGTTAGTATGCAAAGTTTCATGATCTTATTTAAAGTATTTTATGAATAACAGCGGTTTATTGTTCAGTTTGGAGGTAACTTTGGATTTTTTTTTCTATCGAGAAAATTTTACGGAATCGTGTTTTCGTCTAACATAAACCTTAACATTAATCCTCAACTTTACCATATATTTATTTCAAAATTAATGCTGCAATACTTTCGGCATAACGGAAGATCTTGCTAAGCCATTTGAGGTTATATTTCCCCTTAAAGGTAAAATTCCGTATTCGTGACACAACTGGTACCTATGCAGTTCTATGAAATACGTTCCGTAGCTAGCGACACGTTGTTTGTCTAGCGGCAAACGACACAGTAGCTAGTGTAGTAGTGTAGCAGTACTTTTATAAACTGGAATCAGTAGTGCCGCACACGCCCAAGCGACAACGCGTTGATTTTTTTCTTAAAAAATGAGTTTCACCGATTCCGACGAAGATTCACTCACTTCCTCTGCAACATAGGACGTGTGTCTTTTCGTCTTTTCTCTTTATATTTGTATAACAAAAGCAAGTCATCATTATTTTCTTCCTCTTCTAACAAAAGATACAAAAATAAATCGCGATCGCTAATTTTAAGCACCCATGTCCCACTGAACACTCGGAACAGACTGGACACGGGCTGCTGCCGCCTGCAGTCGGGTTCGGAGTCATGTCGCAGCGACATGTCGTCTGCTGCTGCTGTCTGCAGTCGGCTACGGAATTGCACCTTAAGACTACATGTGACATGACTACATATGATTATAAAATTGAGTTGACTCTAATGGTGGCTATTTCTTTGTAGTAAAACCACGTTTTTTTAAAGTTTACGCATTTGAACTCATTTCACGTTGGAGCCTGATACATGATCACACTTTCTACTAGCCAGCACCACGTCACACTTGCCGTGGGTAGCTCAGGCTCAGCTCACATCCAGAGCCGTGGGTAGCTCAGGGGCTAAGCGCTGGCCGCTACGCTAGCAACCTGGGTTCGATCTCTGTCGGCACTAAAGGAATTGTTAATTGCAATTTTAACTGCTGGTTTACCACGTGATCGGCGTTAAGAGATAGTTAACTGATGATCATTGAACATTTTTAGGGATATTGTTGTAAAAGCGACAATAATCCATAAATAAATTATTAACTGCATTCGATTTTTACAAACTTGCGTTTATTTCTAGTATTTACAATATATTTATTTCTTTAAGCTATTCTCTGAAGGTTTTAAATAGCTCATTCTCTATCTTTCTCTCTCTCTTTTTCTCTCTCTCTCTCTCTCTCTCTTTCTTTCTCTTACAGCTCAAATATAAGTTTGTTGTGTTTTCCCTTATAATAATTCCTAAGACATGCTAAGGAAATAACAAAAATAAACCAGACGTTTCAAAATTAGTGTGAGTATTCTAAACTTTCTTACAGTATCCGCTAGAAAAAAAGAGGATATTAGCATATTATGTCTCTTAGCTGGTATTGGAGCAGAAAAGAGTCCTATAGAGGCTATGAACCCGTTACCCTAATGCGTGTTGGCTTTACATATATTTTTTTAAACTGCAGGGGTAAACAAACACAGTCCACCTGATGTTCAGTGACTGTTTCAGACTACTTCACAGAAAGAAGGCTACAGTTGCGTGGTCACCTCTGAGGACTAAGATGAAAGGCTTCGCAGACTAATTATTATACTGGCTTTCTATATCCTTCAGACCGGAAGACAGCAGTGCAAACATTGCTACTTGGCCAAAGAATAGCTACGAGTGTGTGTGTTACCTTAAATGAAACTAATTATACGGATTTTGGCGCGTTTAATTTCGACTTTTTTAAATTTGCCACGTTTCGGGTGCTTTACAGCACTAGTCTCCCGTGAACATTTCACGGGAGACTAGTGGGATAGGGAGGGAGTGTTTGACACCCTGATGTCATTATTAGCCCGGCTATCTTCAGTTTTAGAATATTACTTTTTGGTCCGATCTACGCAGAATTAGCTTGAAGTCTTGCAGTGATGATATGTTTGGGTTTGGATTTAATTTTGTTAATTATTGGATGCCAAGCAGATGGCAGGACCTATCCATCTTCTCTATTGAAATTAGGATGTTTTTCTAATTTCACCTTCGTTGCTTCACGTCAGCTACAGCACCGACACTCCGGAAAGTCTGCCCCCGGAAGTCTTCGCCATTACATTAGATTGATAGACAACAAATCCTCGCAAAAGAACACGAATTCCTACCTAGGATGATTTGCGATGCTCTTGAAATTAAAAATATCCTAATTTCAATAGAGAAGATATATACCTATAATTAATTTAATTAAATTCAAACCTAAGCATAACACTGCAAGAATTCAAGATACTGTAAGCTCATTCTGCGTAGATCGGACCAAAAGTTTATATTCTAAAACTGAAGGTAGCCAGGCTAACAAAGACATCGGGACGTTAAACACCTCAATCCTCCCATGGGTGCTGTAAAGCACTCGAAACGTCGGGAAGTAATAAAGTCGAAATTAAACGCGATAAAATTCGTAAATTTATTTTCTTTTGTAACATTATGTAGTGTTCGCGTGAATATAAGACGTCATTATGAGTGTGTTATATACTCAGACGAACCTTGGGCAGAAAAGGATTCTACGTTTAAGTTTCTACATGATGTTTTTTTTACCGCCGAACAAATCACGTGGTAAATTAGCACTTCAAATTGCAACTAACATTTTCATTGGTGTCGGAGGGTGCAAAAGTTTATTCTCTGAGCTGCTACAGCTTTTTATTTTGTATTTATCTGTTGCATACAAAATTATATAACTTAGAATGTTGACTTGTTTAATAATATTTTCCAATTGTACTTGTTCTTTAATTAGCTCGATTAGATATAGATTTAGATCACCAAGATAATATAAGTGTAATTAAAAAGACGGTGCTCAACCTAACCACAAATTAGCAATTGCACCTATATAAGTTCAAATAATACAATGTATCAATCTCTTTTTACAAACATCAACCGGCCTTGAAGAAACATCTTCAATAAACTACTAAGAAATGTTTCTGTTTCTTTTAACAAATAACAAACGAGGAGACAGTCCATTTATGTTAAGTGGTTACTGTGGCCCATAGACACCTACATCTATCTTCGATTACGAATTTCAGTGCAGATGCATTGTCACCCGTGAGGACTAAGATGGAATGCCTCGTTTCCAGTAAAAAGGGTCTCCGGTTCTCTACACTCACCATACGAAACACAGCAGCATTGGACTGCTATTTTACGCTGGTATTCTGTGAGAGCGTGGTCCTTCACCGGTCGAGCCGAAACATTCGTGCTACAACTATACTACTATTATAATAGCTGCAGCATGATTCTACCACCTATATGTATCAAGATTCTTCCTTGATCCCAAATGCTATATTTTGAATACCAATCGTTGCATCTTCATAAGAATCTAATCTGTTAATATAAACAATGTGTGTCAGATAAGAGTTCATTATCAATGCTTATCTTACGGCTGACATACTCAAAGTAAATTCTTTCTATTTTCAGTGTCGTCTACGCCACGCACGACAATGGAGAGCGGAGGAACTACTGGCCCTTTGCTGTTCGCGGTCTTGGCAGCGGTATTGGGGATGCTCCAATTCGGTTTCAACACTGGAGTGATCAACGCGCCGAAACAGTTCATCGAGAACTTCATCAGAGATCAATACAATGTCGCTCCTGACTTAATCTTCGGTGTGATCGTCAGTATCTTCGCAGTTGGCGGTATGATAGGTTGCCCTTTGGCCAGCTGGATTGCCGACAAACGTGGCCGCAAATTTGCGTTATTAGCTAACGCCATTTTCGGCGTGATAGGCGGCCTTTTAATGGGCTTCAGCAAAGCCGGGATGTCGGTAGGGATGCTTATAGCTGGCAGATTTTTCATCGGTGTCAATTGCGGTTTTGCCACAACCGCATCTCCTACTTACGTATCCGAGATAGCACCTTTAAGGCTACGCGGTGCATTCGGCACCGTTAATCAATTAGCAGTCGCATTTGGCCTTGTAGGTGCACAGATTTTGGGTATTGACGTTATTCTGGGCAGTGACGATGGGTGGCCATTCCTACTCGGCTTAGCTGTGTTGCTATCAGCAGTTCAATGTTTGATGTTACTGTTCACACCAGAATCTCCAAGGTACCTCTTACTAGTACAAAGAGACGAAGAAAAGGCGAGGGAAGTGCTATCAAAACTCCGGGGCACCGGTGATATTGATGACGAGATCAACGAAATGCACGCAGAAGACAGGGCTGCAAAGGAAGAAGTGAAATTCACTATTGGAGATTTGTTCCGGATCAAGGCTTTGCGAACACCTCTTATTATTGGGGTTGTGATGCATCTTTCACAACAGTTGGGCGGTATTAACGCTGTTCTATATTATTCATCAACGATTTTCGAAAACGCGGGTCTCACAGTCGAGAATGCTCGATTGGCGACCATTGGTGTTGGAAGCATTCTTTTCATAATGGCCTTGGTTTCAATTCCGTTAATGGACCGTCTCGGAAGACGCACTCTACAGCTTTGCGGTCTAGGAGGTATGGCGGTCTCTTCCGTGCTAATGACCGCTGCATTTTTCACGTACAAAGATAACTTTACTATGAGCATTTTTGCTGTCATCTTCACTCTGTTGTACGTCGCATTCTTCGGCGTTGGCCCGAGCTCGATTCCCTGGATAATTCTTTCCGAGCTCTTCGGTCAGGGTGCTAGGAGCGCCGCAGTCAGTGTTGGAGCCGCCGTGAATTGGTTCGCTAACTTTATCGTCGGTCTTGTATTTATTCCTCTAACGAACGTGCTCAATAATCTGGTGTTCTTGCCTTTTACGATACTGTTAATCATTTTCTATGTGTTCGTTTACTTCAAATTGCCGGAGACGAAGAACAGGACCGTCGAAGAAGTTACGGCTGAATTCAAAGAGTAGTTTTAATTATTTATTTTTGAAATCACATTCCTTTTAGTATAGTTTAATATGTACTGCAATAAGTTTACCAAATGTGATAGTTACTGTATTACTTGTGACTGATGACGTTTATTTATAAGGTTGGTATTGCATTGATACAATACTGGTCAAAAGTTTTCGATCAAATTATAAATTTTAAGAATTTTAGAAAAATACGTGATTCCAACCTCGAATATTATTTCGGCAAGCACTAGGCGGGGGCGGGCGCTTGATTGTTCTATTTTGTTCTATTTTGTTTAGATAGGCATTTCTTCATAAAATATAAACTAAAAACGAATACCTGGTAGAGCCACACTGCAACTATATTATGGTTGTAGCACGAATAGGTCGGCTCGACCGGGGAAGGACCGCGCTCTCACAGAATACCAGCGTAAAATAGCAGCTTAATACTGCTGTATTTCGTATGTTGAATGTAGAGATCCGGAGACCCTTTTTTACTGAAAACGAGACATTCCATCGTTGTATTCAGGGGTGACAACGCATCTACGTTTTGATTATTAATCGAGGATAAATGTAGATGTCTATGGGCCTCAGCACCACTTACCATGAGGTGGACTTTCTGATCGTTGGTCATCCTTATTCTGCAAAATAAAATGTAAAATCAACATGACCTAAAATAGGCCTATTTATTAGATATAACTTTTACACTGATTGGTTAGGGAATCTTGCGAAGTACACGTTAAAATAGCGATTTAGTGTTATCTTTAAGATATTTCTTTATCGAGACTATTCAGACATTTTTCATACTTTTGTTATAGTTTTAGTTTTTGAGCAATAAATACATTTCAAGTGATTTACAGAGATTCAAAATAATTAAAAAAAATTCTGCGTTTGTTTGTTTTATAATGTCTTTAACGCCCTTCGTGACTCAGTCACTGTTTATTTGAGACGGCAAACTGCGTAGTGTTTTTTGACACTGACCTTAATGTTAATGCATTTAATACAAAGAGATTTAAATATATGTTTACTACTACATACTTAAATGTCTTTGATTTAATACAAAATTTTCGTGGTTTTTATTACGTTTTTATTGTATTTTGTAAATCTAGAAATTTATTTCTTCGTAAAGTTATTATTTTATAAGTGATCAAAAACTTTTGACCGTAAGTGTATACATTCGAGCTAGAGTAAAACGTGTTCTTTTTACCCCACATCACGTTTAGTCATAACCTTTTATGTAATAGAATCAAGTTCGGATCGACTGGGGAAACATGATGCTCTTAAAAAATACCAGCGTATAATAGCAGCAAGCCATTTTAGGCCTTAAGGGTGATAAGTGACAACTCATATGTATTTGATTCTAAATTGAGGATAGATGCAGGTGTTTATTGACCACAGCATCAACTTATTATTAAGTGGGCTATGTGCTCGTTTGTGACTCTCACTTCTTTAAAAAAAAATAGCATCCATAGCTTTGATGTCTTTAAATAATTTTTCATAAAATCGAAGTGAGAAACGAACTTGATGGTGACTACTGCAGGCTATATATACCTACCTGCAAACAATTTCAAAAAAACAATATAACAGATTCGTTGTCGCCCATGTGGATTAAGACGGAATGTCTCACAGTCTGCATTATACTAGCTCTGTCCGGTAAACAGCAGTGCGTTAGCGCACTGCTGCATGACATCAGAATTAAATCAAATAAAAATTTAAAATTTGGGAATACACGAATTCGAATAGTGATGTAAGTGCCGCCCTTGCCGCGCGTTTTCGCTTCGGCGACGAATATTGAATGCATACCTAGTCGAAATATAACCGTGATTGTACACAAGAGAACTAGATAAAGGACCTTCACACGAGTTTTGAATTTGAATTTAAGCCGAATAATGAGCGTTTGTGAATTAAAAATAACTTTGTTGGATTCGCATAAATTTAGGAAGACTGACACCTTATTTACTATTTACTACACGTTATTTTAAAGTACTTATTCCAATAAATTAAACAAAAATAGCTTTTATTTATAAGTGCAAATTTAACTGTATGCAGCTGTTATACAAATTATATTTAAATGTATATCTCTATACATAGTCTGTACTTTTAGATATATGTTTTATAGCCACTTTGTTTTGATTCCGTATTTTTCGTATATTATAAGTGCAATTATTCTTGTTCAGGGTTTTGAGGACCAATTTTTTTCTTTAATATTATTTTAACACTGATTTTTTTATTTATATTATTTTTAATCTGTTGATATTTAGTTAGTTTATATTACCTAATAGTGCCTTACAATCATTTACATATTTCATGACATTTTTACTTTAATGTATTTCTAAACGTGGTCCTGTTTTAAATGATATATAATAATGTTTAAATGTTGGTATCTGTTTTTTTTTGCGATTATTTCCAAACTTATAAGTAGATCACTTGACCGTCCTTATGTAATATAGTGCCAACTTTTATTCGTTAGATTATGAGTGATTACCATGTTTAAAAAATCACCATATAATACGTTATCAATACAACTTTGTGTTAAGGAAAAAGTATATGTATTATTTAATAGGTTTTAAATTTTGCCATGCTGCACTTTAAATGTAATTAATATAATACGTCTATGTGTTTCTGTATGGTTATGCTTGTCATGTTTGGTCTTTAGGGCTGATAGAAGTGATCCATCTAAGAAATTATAACGTAACTGATTATAAAAGTCAAGCAATTGAAGTATTTTGTTTACAATTGTATTTTTTATTTATTTATGATATGTTTTATCCTATGAATAACTTTTATTTCTAATGATTCAAAATTCAGTTTGCAAAACAATTCTTTAGCTAAATAAGTTCCATAAGATAGTTTTCGTATAAAATATTTTATCCACAGTTAAACGATATCTGGTCAGTTAAATGAAAAAAAAATTATGAAGTTGATAAAAATTGTTTTGAGTTAAAAGTTCAAGTTAAACGTAGGAATTATATATTCACTCTGAGCATACGTATGAAGTTAATACATTTCTTATCAGATGTTTTTATTATTAATATGTATTAGATATTAAATTTGATATATCACCTGCACTTTACATAAGTTAAGTTACAGTTATATACTTCCCACTGCTGGGCACAGTAAATCGCACTGTCTTAGTGTAGTAAAAGCCTATTCACTCTTGCCTTGAAGACGCCCAGATTGTATTCGGACGGAAAGATATGAACACATTAAAAAAGTCAAAGTAAACCTTTTGGTTCTAATGCGTGGAATACCGACAACAAAGGGGTTAGAACCTGCCGACCGCCTGGTCATCCGATGGTGGAAAGGAGAGGGAAGAATTAAAGTGTGCAATTCCTGCGCACACTCACCGAAATACATCTTAAAGAATACCAAGAGGCTGGCTTCTCTGGTTTGAAATATTTGGTCTGGTTGAAATATATTTGAAAAAATGATAAACAGTCTTAGTTTTAGAAAATTAGTGAATGCTTAAATTCAAAATGTTTATTTAGTAATAATTTACAAAGGTTGTTATTATATTAACGCAGATGTGTATTGTTTTTTTTTTACCTTTAAAACGTTTGTGTAGAAATAAAATTTGAAACCGGCAAGTTGCATTTTATAACGTGTTTAACCGCACAATACGTCAATGACTTTGTTTTATAAAAAATATAGGTGTTTAGTTTTGATCTCCGAAGTTAATTATTAATAGTAAATAATTTGATGTTTTTTTTTTTTATTCTAAACAGCATCCCTTCGTCATGGTAGTTTTCATAAAAAATGAATGGTTTTATCAATGATTGAATAAGTCTCGGAAATGGTTTCAAATGAAACCAGAAACCATTAATGAGGCTTATTGTATTAGGTTTATTATGATTCTTATAAAGAAATCGTATATTTTTCTATAAAATTTTTGTTTCTTTTACTGTACTACACATAATTTACGTTCCTGATAACATAATATGTGTCAGATTAACTCGCTTGCGCGTGCACTATAATCCACCGAGACTGAAATTCGGTCTGGATGAATTTTATTTATTATTAGATTGCTTGGTTTTCTTATGATAGTATAAGGTAACATTATACTTATTCAACATACAATAATGTAATACTAAATAATGTTGTTTTTAGTAGTTGTAAATATTTAAGGAGTATTATTGTATTTCATATTATCTTATAAATAAAAAAAAATCGAATTTAATACACCTGTTACATATTAAAATACTATTTGGAATTTGTGGCGTTTTCTTTTATTTAACAAATGTAATAATATTAAAAAGCGGAAAGCCGCATAGTAAGGCTTTTCCTTTACTTTCTTGTGTCCGCGTATTGTGAAATTTAGTGAGCTGTTAGTCCCTGAGTTAACAAGACTGATCATGAAACTATGCAACCATGAAAACTATTAATTATAAATACTGTTGCTGTTACAGTCTATTAAAGTCCACTGCTGAACATAACTTGCCTTAGTCGCCAGGCTTGGCAAATGGGTTGGTAACCGCAGTTCTCACTTCTTACACCGCCACCGTTTTTAAGGGTGATAACGCATCTGCATTTCGATTCGAAGTCGGGGATAAAAGTAATTGTTGAACTGTGTGCCCTTATATAATATTTATTGAATCCAAACATACTATACATAAAAACAAAAACTTATACAATTACATTGACAAGACGTAAATCTAACTGAATACTATATTAACCCTTAGAAGACAAGTTTGCGCGCTTACCGCTAAAAATAACCCTTTTGTCGTATCTCCTAAGTTGCAAGGCAGTTTTTGTCTCGGCCGGTATCGGAATCCTCGGCGTCGACATATCGAGTGATGTGCAGTTTTGTGGTCACTGAAGAGAAGGCCAATTTAGCCTCTAAAAAGCTTGGCATGCTCAGCAGAGCGGGACAGTATTTTATGCCGGCACACCGCCTGCAATTTTACAAGGTTCCGCCTCATATGGAACACTGTTCCCATCTCTGAGCTGCCGCTCCCCAGTGCCAGTTCCTTCCACTTGACCGCATTTGGTGCAGAGCGAGCTCGAATCGTCGACGACCGAGTGTTTTCCGATCGGTTTGGTTCACTAGTACTGCGAAGAGATGTTGCATCTATTTGCATTTTCTTTCGCATCTAGCACGGGGAGTGCACATAGGAGTTGTTCGGATTAATCTCAGTCGCCAAATTTCATGAACGCACTACGCGGCAAACCTCCCGATAACACCCCACAACATCTGGATGCTTGGCGGTCCATCACTGTACGTTTACCACCGGTGATTTTTCCGGACCGATACGACCTGGGGACCTTCAAGAGAAGAGCTTACTCCTTTCTAAAGGGACGGCAACGCACCTGCAATTGCCATGGTGTTGCAGTTGTTCGTGGGCAGCGGTAGTCACTTAACATCAGATGAGCCGCATGCTCGTTTGCCCCCTCTCCTATATATATTTATAAAAAAATTGTCTGAACCGTCTGTAATTTAGTCCTCTGCTCCATAAAAGTTTATTATTTTAATGACGTAGAAAAAGTACCTAAAGTTAAGGTATTGGCTTTTAGTTAATGAAGTAATTAAGGTAGAAGAATGTAGAGATGATAAATTTATTTGTTTCTTAAAATTGTGCATCAGGTAATTTTTTTTACAAAAAAGTGGTAACTCTGCATGAAATGACTTGCTTGCATTTAAGTTTCTTTGGTTATATTTAGTAACTTAGGTAAATAAACTTGTGTAAGTTGATTAATGTACTTGACATGGACATTGAACGGAGTATTTACCCATATACGGACGTAAGAATATCCTAAAATATTCACACTAAGTTTTATTTGACGTCCACTTCTTCGATATCCGATGTCCAAAGTTGTTGTTGATTATTGCATTTTACTATTTATTTATGTTGATTATTTATTTAGTGCTTAAGGCATATTTTGGTATTTTTTGTCGGTTTATACTGTACTCAGTGCAGTAGTAGTTGATAATTTTACTTTCCAATTTGTTTTCGTGTCCTTAGATTTAGCTACATATAATAATATGGACGTCCGAATATCCTAAAACATTCATACTGAATGATATTTGACGTCCATATTTTGAATTTTGTTATATTTCTATATGTGGACGCCAGATTATCGGTAAAGTTTCATACCGCACGATATTTGACGTCCATATAACCATGAATACATTTATATTTTAATTTCCTGTGTATAAACAATTAATGATCTTTATCTTTAATGACATTTTTCGCTATTGTTTTATTTTTAGTGTAGCCCATGCGGTATGAAATAGTCACTTTGGTGTTTCATAAAATGCTCCATTCTAGAAACGACAAAACGCTTAGAAAACCTTTCTTATTTCTTTTTTGATAAATGTTTTGGGGCACTGTGTGCGCCAAAATTTTAACTTTAAATTACTACCTGTGTACACATAATTATATGGACGTCCGAATATCCTAAAACATTCATACTGAATGATATTTGACGTCCATATTTTGAATTTTGTTATATTTCTATATGTGGACGTCATATTATCGGTAAAGTTTAATACCGCACGATATTTGACGTCCATATAACCATGAATACATTTATATTTTAATTCCTTGTGTATATATAATTTTTAAATCTTTAATACATTTAAATATTCGAAAATACTTTAAATAAAACGCTTGAAACGTTTTTAATTTACATTTACATTAGTGTTGTAAGTATTATGTTTAATCATCTCCGCAGAGCATTGAGAATAGCAATAGTGCTTCATCTTGTTCTTCTTCTTCCACTTCGCCTTCTAACCAGAACGTTTCCATCATGCCTTTGCCCTGAGACGTAAAATTATTTAATTAATTTTAAGTAGAAAATTGCATAAAATATAAAAAATAAAAATAGAAAAAGAACAGTCATGGCGGTTTTTCTCACATTAAAGACGGATGTATTAAATTGAATAAAAAGTTTAGATTAGACTTTCATTTTAACGTTGAAACGCTAACACCTCTCTCTTTAAATACTTATAATGTCCTGTGCAAAATTATAATGATCTACACAAAAAAGGATTTATTGCTATCCCTTGGGTAATGGGTACTGTAGAGAGGTAGATCTGGGGTATGTTCCAAAATAGAACCCAGTGTACTATCCAATGCAATGACGTCGTGAATCGACGCTATACTGGTGATTCGTTCCAAAACATAGGACAGTATATGACGTCTACATTTGCACCATATTATATATATATATATATATATATATATAAATATATATATATATATATATATACTATATATATATATATTACATTTATAATTTATATACTATAATAATGACGAATATGTGGCCACTTAATGAAGTTATAAAATTTTAATCATAGAGCTACTAAAATCAGAACATATACGTACATATTTTATTTTTTATTTATTTATTTTTAATAATTAATTAATAATTATTTATTAAATTACTAATAATTTGTTATAACTATTTAATTTTTTTTTTGTTTAAAGAAAACCAAATTTATTCAGGACATATTTAGTTCTATCGCTATGGATAGAAGATAACATCCACCATTTTCTACGCAATTTCTTTTTGATAACTCTATTCTTGTGCACATTAAAAAAAAGACAATAAAAAAATGACATGTTGTATAAATATATTGCCGCAGCGGCTAATTCTTCCACGTCCATCTCAAAACGTTTCGATCACAACTAGGCATGAGACCGATATATCAAAACGTAACTAATAACGTTATGTTATCAAATATCATATCATATCGATAAACCTAAGTACAAAACCGTTATCACATATCCAACCAAAACCATATATACCTAACCAACGTACGAAAACGAAACCGAACGCATAACGCAAACTGTGGAACGATATCCCAAAACTGAAAACGGCCCACTAACCGATGATCTTCGTTGATATTCATCGCTTCTCGTTCTTGCAACAATAGTTTAAATAAGTATAGAAAGAGATGAAGCGAATATGGATATCGTTGCGATGTTTTGGTAGTTATCACACAACGGTGCACATTGCGAAATATAATATATAGCTAAAGCAATAAGGTCGAATTTTAAATAGTTAAAATTGCCTAAATTTTAAGTGTGTAGTTGTGAGAGTTATCAAATTTCAAATGATCTTTAGCTCATTAGGTACAAGGCTTAGATTTGTAAAACGTAAAACGCAAACACCGGAACGATATGCCAACACGGCCCACGAACTAAACTGATGCCATGTCCTTCATTGATATTCATTGTCTCTTGTTCTTGTGACGGTATCATAAATTCGTATAGAAAGAGAGGATTTCTGTTTTGGTAATTTTAGTTTCACACGGTACGCAATGCACATCTGGATATAATTTCCTAAAGCAAAAAGGTCGAATTTCAAATAGTTAAAATTGCCTAATTTTTAAGTTTGTGTAGTTGTGAGAGTTGTCAAATTTAAATGATTTTTAGGACAATAGACACAAGACTTGCATTTGTATGATCATATTATATTTGGTTTAGGCAACTTTATGTTTATGTTTTTTATATTTTGGATGGAAAGTTTAGAATTTGCTTTTTCTTTTTTCTAGAACGCAACAATTACGCACTTGGTCTTGGTGGCTTGTGCTCATGCCATTCGCTAAGATACCTAATAACATCCATGACGTTGCGTTTGTGCATTTATTTGCCACATTTGTGTGTATTTTGTGCTGGTAGTTGTAATTCAGACAATTATGTGTAAAGTCTAAATATAATATAGCATAGTATAGTTTACATTGATTTTGACTTTTAATCATTTTTGAATGTAGACTTTCAAAATGTCGCGTAAAGCTAGTGAAATATGGTCTCACTTCGATAAAAAAGACAATTCCGACCACTTCTTCCACCGGAGCCGAATTAGCGGCTAGTGCAAATCAGGTAAACCTGCGGTTAATAGAGTTGAATTTTGAAATTGAATTCAGAATTCGAATTTAAAACTTTTCTGCTAGTTCTAAGCCTAGTTAAGCATGAAGGAAAACCGTCAACTTAAATAATTGTTTATAAATAAACTAACTAAAATAATTTTCTATAAATGTATATAAATTATGTTTACATCTTAAGAATACACTTTAATTATAGACTTTGAAATCAGACTCGATCCTAAGTCTCAATTTGAAAAAAAAAAATGGGAAGCAAAATTATAGAAATAAATAAGGATAGAATGAACGTAATTTTATTCACTACCTGATTATCATCCCGTGGGTGTCGTAAAAGGCGACATAAGGGAACACATCAGGAGATGTGCAGCAATTTTTTTAGGTTCATGCCATCTAGCATTTATCCCACATACCACCTTGAGAGTCAATCAATGTTTGTTCGATAAAATATCTTTACCTATACAACATAGTAGATGGCGCTATTGCTGAAGTCTTACTAAAATAAATACGTGTACTTTGGTAACTGTCTTAAATACAATTAATATAAGATTAGTATTTGAACAAAAGACAGTTGTAATCTTGTAATTGTACTCCTATATACTTTATGTTGTGTAATGTCCTGCGTTTGCCACTTGAATGATCGACCGAATGCCCAGTACGTTCGTAGTATGTACACCCACCACTTTTCGTCATACAAAAAGATTGCGGATCAGCATTTCAATCAAAGCCCGTAAAAAGTTTCACTTCAAAAAAACTGTGTTTGGCAACCCGCTTGCCAAGCGTGGCAACTGTGGCAAATATTCCACCTATGATACAATCTATGAGGAGGCCTATGTGCTCAGCAGTGTACTTTAATAAGCTGTAACAGTGACGGTATAATTTATTACTGCATAACATTGAATATACAAAAATTATATACTCGTATTAACATACATGTTTAAATATTACATCTAAGATAACAATAACATTAGAACCTCTGACTTCTAATCTAGAATAATCTATGTAATTCATAAAATACACGTTGCACTGGTAGTACAGTTTGCGGTTATGGTTCGGTTGTCGTTTGCACATTCAGTAGCAAACCGTTACTATTGATATCGATATCTGAAAACGGTTTTCAATAACGATATGAAAACTAGATATCGGTTATGTAACCGTTGCAGATAAAAACTGAAAACGCCCATGCTTAATCACAACTGAATGTCGCCATCGTGTAGATGCGTTTCAACCATCGCATGGCCATCTCGCTGGGCCAGCGTTGGCCCATCGTGTAGAGGAGCTATTAAATTCACGGAACGGCACATCAGTATATGGCACGGTCCGGGTTTTATTTCATTTTTGAAAGGGTTATTTATATCATTTTTATTATCGAACCGTAAAATTATTTTATTATTTAAAGTAGTTATCAAGAATATGCTGCCATCCACCTCCTGTTTAATTTCCCTCTCTTGACTCTTGCAGCACCCACGGGATGATATGGGGGGGGGGGGGGGGGGGTGGCTTCTCACGCCAACACTTCATGGTGGATAAACAAGCACTAATCGGCCACAATATCCACGGACAAAGTAGGTACCTTAACTTTGATAAGTCCTCTTCGTCTAAGTCTGAATCTGCCAGCGGGAAGTTCCGCTGCTGTCTGAGCGGAAATTTGAATACGCCCAGGCTGAAAAATAAAAGTTTTAATATAAATTATGATATACGTGGTACAATCAATCTGCTGCTGTATTATGCACGACACTACACCACGAATAGGTCGGCTCAACCGGAGCAGGACCACACTCGTACGGAACACCAGCGTAAAATAGCAGCGTAATTCTGCTGTAGAGCTGTAGTAAGTGACGAGAAGAGGAGACCCTGTTTACCGGTAATGAAGTACTCCATCTTAGTCCTCAGTTAACAACGCATTTGTATTTTGATGCTTAACTGGGAATAGATGTAAGGCCCTGTACGCACTGCAATATTTTACCTCGCGATTTTTTCCTCACAGTTCTGTAACACATTGAATCTTATAGGAGTAGTCGCACTGGCGGTTTAAAAACTCACGCGGAAAAAAATCTGTGATTTGTTGCAAATTAAATGCGATGCGGTGTGGATTTACTTCCGCTCCAATGTTTTGCACATAAAGTCCTCACTCCTTACTCTGTGGTAAAACGTAGTTATGGCATTGGCCGCACTGCGAAATAAAATTCGCGCGTTTCGATAAGTCGTGTACTGGCTCAAGTAAATTATTGAAAGATTTTAAAGTCATTCTGTAATATCCGAAAAACTTTTTACTGTATTTTTGTAACTCATGATGTTTTATGTAGAAAAATTCCTTTATAGGTCTCAAGGCCGGCCGTAGGTAAATGGGTAATGTTCATGACATCTTTTGTTGCTTCTGTCACGCCGCCGCCATAGCATAAAGTAAATAATTTTTTTCTGTTGTTCGTTTTTAAACGTTCGGCTCAGCCGCGAACAGCATCGAACTGTATATAGTAAATATAAAATAAAGAAAAATCTCGCGGTGAAATATCGCAGTGCGGACAGCGCGTAATCCCTATATTTCACAGACTGTTAAAATGAATGGGGAGCACCATTACGAGTGCGACAGTATCGTCACCAATCTTACGCCTAGCGTGATGGGTACGGATTTATCTTCCAAGATACGTTTTTGTATGTTTAACAGTGGACGTATAGAAGACTTACCTATAATAGAAAATTGCTTAAACATTTAGGGACACTTTTTAGGCACCTATTCTATTAACGACATTCAGGTAATCAGGTAGTTAGTAGTCAGTCGTCAAGTGTTAGTCGTGGTGCACGTGGTTAAAAATGGTCTATTGCAGTGTTTCGAACTGTTCAAACTGTTCAGGAAAGGGTTATTGTTCTTCTAAAGGAATTTCTTATCATTGGTGAGTAAAATAATACATTTTTAAATCGATTTTATTGAACGATACTTTGCCCTTCAACGCGTCGTAGTATGGCCGCTGATCCCAGACGCCAATTAAGGATGTGCTTAGATTTTAGTTTATCGACGCTATCGATATTCTATGCCTTGTATAATCAATTCTAGTGGATTATTTTTAGAAATAAATTTTGCTGTTAAATAAAAAGTGTAAGTTTTATTTAACAATAAATATTTGTTCTTATTCAATATTCTTATATTTTTTTTAGTTTTCCGATAAACCCAGAAGTTAAGGAAAAATGGATTTTGGCAACAGGGAAAAAAAAATTGGTTTCCTTCCAAACATAGCAAAATATGTTCAGCACATTTTCAAGAACAGGATTTTAATCCTACAAGAAAACGCCGTGTTCTTTTGGATCATGCTTATCCGACTATTCACGTTTGGACAACTTCTGAAAATGTAAGTATCTTTTAAATAAATAAAGTATTTTAGTAAAATACAAACCATCCCGTGGCTCTATTATGCAAAACAGTAAAGAAATTATGTGGCGCCACTAGTGCATTTTTGATACTATATAATTCGGAAACGAAATGCTTTACCACATTTTGTGTAATTATACTGAAATTAAGTCAGTCTTGCTGTCGCACGGATGGGCCGGCTTGAACCGGGGTGGTACCACGACCTCACAGAAAACCAGCGTGAAGTAGCGGTTTACCTCTGCGTTTCGCTTGGTGAGTGCAGGTGGCCGGACGCCCTTTTTACTGGAAATGAGGCATTCCATCTTAGTTCTCACGGGTGACAACGCATCTACATTTTGATTTGTAATAGAGGATAGATGTAGAGCTATTAGTAACTTAATAGTTACTTTTTGCAAGGTAACTATTAAGTTAACAAACATGTTATTTCAGGTATCAGATATCCAAGTTAACGTAACACCATCAAAATCTCCGTCACCTTCTATGTCATCCAAATCTATTAAGCGAGCGATACAGTTAGATCCGGACATAATGGAAACTCCCAGAAAACGAAAAATGCAACGTATTATAAACGAAAAGGAAAATGTTATAAAAACTCAACGATCGAAAATAAAATGTTTACAAGGTAAAAACCGGAGATATAGAAAAAAAATTATAGAGTTGCAAGAAATAATAAAGGAATTACAATCAAACAGATTAATTAATAGCGACCAAGCCTTTTTTTTAGAAAACACCAACGTGAACACAAAAGAGTTATTTAAAAGATGTGAGAAAAAATTAAAATCTAAAAAATTAACACGTGAAAAATACTCACCGAGCCTTCGGAGTTTTGCGATGACGCTACATTTTTATTCGCCGAAGGCATACCTTTATGTAAGGCGCAAGTTTGAGACCTGCTTGCCTCATCCCAGGACCATTAAAAAATGGTATCAATCTTTTGACGCAGAACCTGGTTTTACTACAGAGTCCCTTGATGCTATAAAATCTAAAATTCAATCTACACAATATCCAATATTATGTAATTTGGTGTTGGATGAGATGGCGATTCGTCAGCGCATCGAATGGGATGGGAAACGTATGCATGGTTATGTTAATTTCGGAAACAATTTAAACGATGGTGGGGATAATTTGTGTGAAGCTAAAGAGGCTTTAGTATTCCTTGTTACTGCAATTAATGGGGCATGGAAAATACCTGTCGGATACTTTCTGACAGACGGTGTAACAGGTGAACAAAAGTCAAACCTAGTGAAACAGTGTCTTGAACTTTTAAGCACAACTGGCGTTGAAGTTGTTTCTCTGACGTTTGATGGTTGTCCTGCTAATCTTACAATGGCAAAAATTCTCGGATGCTCTTTTGACATTAATAATATAAAAACTTGTTTTAGCCATCCCGTTTCACAAAAACCAGTTTACGTTTTGTTGGATGCTTGCCACATGTTAAAACTAGTAAGAAATGCATTCGAATCAAGCGCAACATTAAAAGACAATTTTGGTAGATTAATAAAGTGGTCGTACCTGGTCCATCTTAACCATCTACAGGAAAAAGAACATTTGCATCTTGCAAATAAGTTAAGACGCCGCCATATTTATTTCTACAACCAAAAAATGAAAGTTAAGCTGGCGACACAACTGATGAGCAGTAGTGTGGCTAGAGCTTTAATTTTTTGTTCCAAAACTAACCAACCGGGGTTCACCGATGTTCAAGGCACAGTAGATTTTTTTGCAAAATTTTAATGACTTGTTTGATATTTTAAATTCACGAAATATTAATCAGTTACACTATAAGAAACCCATAAATTTCAAAAACAAAGAAAGGTGTTCATTTTTTAAACAAAATGGAAGCATATATAAAAAACCTAAAAATGTATAACGAAACGGAAATAATTAAATCACCTAAAAAAACCGGGTTTTTAGGTCTTGTGGTATGCATCAATAGTGTCAAAAGTTTATACCTAAGGCTTGTCGAAGAAGAAAAAAAATTAAAATATTTGCCCACCTATAAGTTGTCTCAAGATCATCTGGAGTTGTTATTCGGTAATATAAGAGCTCATGGTGGGTGTAACAACAACCCGACAGCGCGACATTTCATGGCTATTTATAAAAAACTAATAGTCAAACTAGAATTGAATAATTTTGAAAGTGGTAATTGCATGGCACTTGAAAATATTTCAATTTTGACTTGTTCTTCATCAGTGGAAAAAATGAATAAATCTACTTTATCACCAATGATTGAAGAAGAAATGGAAAATGAAGAATATATTAAAGAATTTGATGAAGTTTTGAAAACGGAAAATATCATGACAGAATTTAGTTTGGAAGTAGTAAGCTACATAGCAGGAAATGTGGTACATTTTTTACTTAACAAAATTAAATGCGAAACTTGCATTTCGGCTCTTTTAAATTCCAGTGCTATTAAAGACAATTTTAAATTGATACGGTTGAAAGACAACGGTGGTCTTATTTTTCCTAGCGCTGACGTAATTTTGATTTGTAAAAAAATTGAATCAATTCTTAAAACTTTTACTGTAGATGCTCAATCAGTCAAAAATTTTGAAAAGTTTAAAAAGCAGATAACATCCAGAGCCTTACGTCATTTCATTGGCGTTGAAGTATTCAGAGAAATCGATTTTCATCAATTTGATCAGGGACCAATGGAAAACCATGTAATATTGTTAACAAAATGTATTATAGAAAGGTATACAGATATTCGCCTTCACCATTTAATGAAAACCTCAGCACAAAAAGTATCAAAAAGACAACTTTTAAATAAATATTTGCATTTTACAGGACAATAAATAAATAAATATTTCAATGAATATTTTGTTTTTGAAATGATGAAAATGTCTTAATTTTTTTTTTCCATTTTACTGTGTAAGTTTTACTCCTTGGTTTAATTTTATGTTGTTTAGTTATAATTTTTTTTAGCTAAATAAATCCGAAATTTTCGGTGTTGGAGCAGCCTTTGAGAATTTTTTCTACATTTTTCCACAATCATATGAACATTATGAGTTGTGCACCTTTGGATTTTCAAAACCTTTTTTATCGACGTTTGACATAAAATTATCGGAAAATTAGAAATGATAGTAACAAGTTATTTGTGAAAACTTGTGTATTTAAAACACTAAAACATTGACGTATAACATGAGCGCTTAAAGCATGCACTAAGGGTGTTTTATTTGACATTGATAATGAGTAATCTACTAAATGCCACATAGTTTATGGCATAAAAACTTTACTAGTAATATTAGCCTTAAGGATCATTATATAATGCGTCACTATTTACTGCAGCCCATCAGGAGTCTACTGCTGCATATAGGTACCTCGCATGTATCGCTACGTAGTACGATCATTATCCATCTTTATCCATCGACCACACGCATGTTTTATCACGTCATCACTCCTTTTAGTGGGGGATTATCCAACACAGCGCATGCCAGTACGAGACTCGAGAGCCACTCGAGAACCTTACTTTCCCATCGGTCATTAATTCTTCGAGATGTATCTGGCCATTCACCCATTTCATCCATTACCACTTAAACCTTCACATCCGCTGTATTCTGCCAGTTGTCCTGTTATTGCAGTTGTTTATTGGCAGCGGTTGACACTTACCATCATATTAGTCGCGTGCTCGTTTGCCCCCTCTTCTATAAAAAAAAGTTAGTCTTGTTTTCCTGCAGACATCCTCATTACGGATTCTATCTACGCACAGGAACTTCGAGCATAGATCTGTCCGTCACTCGCTGATTGACTGAGCTTCCTCATACTACCAGCATTAAAAGTCATCATCGACAACACGCACTGGTTGTAACCTCCGCCGCACTTCGCACTGCCACCAGAGTCAAAACGTCATATATTCTGGAACTACGGTACTAACCTCGGAAGTTGTTTGCATCCGACTGGCAGTGTTCACTGTATCTCCAACGAGACAGTAGCGCGGCAAGCGGCGGCCTAGAACTCCAGCCACGCACGGTCCAGTGTGCACACCTGTTCAACATATATAACTAATAATAATGATTTGAACAATAGAAGAACATAAAAATCTTTAAAAAAAAGAAAATCAATTTCATGTACGGCAAAATCTGGTGAAATTAATATTTTAACAATCTGGGAGTTGGTCCTACACTTTATTGGTAGATAATTTTTAAATCAACCACAATACTTTACGAATGTTGCAGATGTAGAAAGAAAGCAAAAATTAAGCAATTTATTTTTTAACACAGATTTTGGCACATAAAACATGTAAAGTAATTATTTTTGATTTTGTACTTCAAAAAGCATGCTAAAAAAGGATATCATTCAGCATATCTTGTGGTGAAACTACAGCGTTTATTTTTAGGAATGATTAAGAATCCTGTTACATACTTTAGAAATTACATATTGAAGTATATTTGATAACCATGACTGGGTAGTGGCAGTGTAAGAATATCCACTACACCATATCGTGCCGTGGGTGTCGCAATGGGTGACGGAGGGAAACTGGAACAGATGGGCAGCAGCATCTTCCTGATAACAACTCAAAATTATAAACAACCTGCAGTTGCCAACCCGCCTGCCAAACGCATTTATTATGGCATTGGCTAGACGAGGACCAAAAAAAAAAAAACAATAAACTACTAGTGATATTAACATTTTGCACAACCGACTTTATACGTGGAAGAGTCATGCTACAGCTGTTTTAGTAGTATAGTTGTAGCACGAATGGGTCGGTTCGACCTGGGAAGGACTACGCTCTCACAGAATTCTAGCATAAAATAGCCAGTAGAGAACCGGAGATCCTTCTTACTGGAAAGGAGGCATTCCATCTTAGTAATCACGGGTGACAACGCATCTACATTTTGATTCAAAATCGAGAATAGACGTAGATGTCTTTGGGCTACAGCAACAGCTTACCATCAAGTGCTCTGTGTGCTCGTTTGTAACCCTCATTCTATAAAAAAATACAAATAGAATATCACAATGTTGTCGAAGTCAATTAAATACCTACACATTATTAAGGATTACTCAAAAACTACTTGTCAGATCTTGATCAATTTACATAGGAATACATGAGAAGCATCAGCTTTCAAATGAAAAAAGAATCATCAGTTATACTAGAAGAAAATTTTGGAGGAACACACATAAAAAACGTACGTTGAGTACCTCCTACTTTTTTGTAGTCTGTTAAAAATTAATAATTAATTGTCTGACGGACTGAGAGAAGCCCGGAGGTTACAACTGAGAACTTCAGCAGAGCAGCGAGGCAGTTACTAGTCACTAGTACCTATGGTAAGCTTGGGCAGGGCGCGCGCGACGGCCAGCGCGGCGCTGGCGGCGGCGGCGGCGTGTCCACGGCGTCGCTCCGGCGCGCCCGATACCAGCATGTACACCGTGCCCACCGTCTCCACCTTGCAATGGTGTATATGGTGTATATCAAGTGATTAATCAGGCCACTATTTATAATGCTCGAGCAATATACGCAGACGCCTGGCTACGCTACGGTGTTGTACTTTGGGGTAACAGCACAGACGCCGATAAAGTATTTCTCATTCAGAAAAAATTTATTCGCATACCTGCAAATATTGACTCAATGACAAGCTGTAGAAATTACTTTATTAATTATAATATCCTGACATTAATATCCCTATAAATATCTGAAATATGCTCACTAGTTAGAAAATAAAAGGCCCTTAAAGTTTATTGTATGTCACATTGTCTAGTCATTATGAATGTTGCTTCGTGTAGCCATTCTCACTGTGTAGTAGAAGTATAAGAAACTTGGCAATATACTCCCGCCGGCGAGAGGGGGTTAACTTCCGGTGGAAAACATACAAAAACCTAACCTAAAGCTGGGCACTAGTCTTCTCTAATTTCTGAAATGGTTTTGGTCCGCCGCACGGTCACAATGCGTGTTGACGGACTTCACGTCTGCGATTTTTTTTAAATTTCTGAGACATGTTGCTACAGGACTCCTCACGATATTTACCTTCACTGCTGAGCACGTTAAATTCAGCACTTTTTGGTTGAAACTTGTAGTATCACCATAAGGGTCACAAACAAGCACACAGTCCACCCTGGTGGTACATATAAATGGTTAGTTTAGCTCACAGAGAACTACATTATGGTTGTCTCATAGTAAAAACAGTGGCGTGTACGTCGTAAGATATTGCATATCCCATATCGTTCTGTAAATGTCGTAAGAGTCGACTATGAAAAATCCCGTAAAGATCTTAAGGCTTCCGAACATGGTGGTAGGGAGGCCTAAAAGCTATAGTCTTTGTAAAAGGGTGTAATGATAATAATTGTAATCTCTGTTGATAGTCCCAAAATAAATAAATAAATGACAAACCTTATACACTCGATGCGTGTCGAGGAGCCTGTCGATCTTGGAGTAGACGTCGTTCATGCAGGCTACGGTGTGCGTGACGCCGGCGCGCGTGCCCGCCTCCGACAGCTGCACGCCGCAGAACATTATTGTCACCGACTCGAACGCCTGCAAGACAGTATACATGCAGGTGTCTATGGGTGACAGGATACACTTACCACCTGGTTCGTAATATGCTCGTTATCTCGACCCTATTCTATAAAAGTCTTAGCGGTCAGCCACTGTAGAGTCTACTTCACCTGAGGATGCCCCGTTTAGAGGCATGTGTCGTATTATCGACGGAGCTGTGGTCTTTCCTAGTGTAATAGTGATGCTGGGATTATTGGTGACGGTGAAATGCACACAATTAATAGGGGAGGTGCTCTTCAAAATAGGTCTAAATTTTTTATATAGATATATGTGTATATATATTAATATATTTATGTAAATTTATTTGAATATTTGTATATTTATATATGTTTATAAGTTTATATACATCTGAAATTATAATATATAGTTATGTATTACACCTTTTTAGTATCTTATTTTTTTAATATTTGATTTTATTAGTTTCCATGTATTACAAAAATTTTGTTATTTTAGTTTATTGTTCTCATATTAACTTTTTACTACACCTACTTCATACTATCTCTGCATCATCCCAAGGTAGACTGGTACAGAATGCCTTAGGTGAAGTTTTACATAAATAAGTAAAAACCAGTCACTTTACATTGTTATCACCACCATTACAGCCATAACACCATACCAAGTCCGTCGGGCATGTAATATTCCTGGCATATAAAAGCTGGTCGTTCAAAATGCCACCTAGCAGTTTTGGACTCCTTACCTGTTGAAACTAACCTCACCAATCTTGAACATAGGTGCAAAGTCTCTCGGTTTTCTACAGGAGGCATTTCGGAAAGTATGGGGAGGAATTGCATAACTTATAAAAGACTCGAACTTTGGAGGCTTAATATCACCAAGCGGTAAAATAAGCAAAGAGTTATCTCACCTGACAAGCAGCCATCGGATCCTTTCCAGCTCTTAAATGGTCGGCGATTGCTTTTGGTATCATGGAATAGAGGAGTTGATCGCTTCTCTTCTTCCACTGGTCCAACAACCGACATGATTTCTCGAGAGATAAGCTCCTGCTTTCTGCTTTTTCAAACATTAGCTCTAATCGCGAAAGATGCTGCCAACCGTGGAGTAGCATTTCCTTGGATAGTCCGTGGCCGTTCAGGTCAGCCAGGTATAAACCCGCTTGTCTTAATTCATCTAAATCGTTGAATCTGCAATTGTCATGTTTAATTGGGGGTAAAATCATATTTGGTGCGTTAGAGAAAGTTTTCTGTTTAGGTTGTGCGTCATTATGGTTTGGTATATTTGAGACGTTGGTGCTATCTTAGGTTTACTACTTCATCCAATCTTATCACTAACCCATCACCCAATTGCGACCCGGGGTTGTTGTAAAAGATGATATTAAAAAAATTGCGTAAAACATAACGCCTTAAGCTCTTCAGAAGCAACATAATATGTTTCCTTTTGCCAAATGATTGCTATTTTAAAACGCTCTGTAATTGTCACACTCAAGCAATAGTCCCTTAAAACGGTTTAAAATATTTTAGGTAAATCCCCCTACAGGTCACCCTCTGGAAATCCCAGAAATATGTTTTTCTTCTGAAAGGCGTAAATCTAGTACTGTAATCAAAATTTGTAACAAAAAAGAACTAAAGAGTTTGTTGCCGGTTCTGCTCTGTAGAATGTCTTATTTTTGCGAATTGGTGATGAATTTGACGTGTAAGAAAGAATATCCATTACCCTATATTGTCCGTGGGTGTAGTAAAAGGCGGCAGAGGGAAACTAACTTGACTTGACTTGACTTTTTAAGTGATAAAGCTTATATATATATTTTCCACAACAGTCGTACTGAACCGTCGTAATATGTACCTTGGTTGGAAACCATTCTCCTATAAAAGTTCGGTAACCAATGTGGAGCATCAATGTACTATATGTATATCTAGTTGATGTTGCTGTTGGTCTGCATATTTAATCTATTTTGGTGTTGTCTTGGGTTTACTAAACTATATTCCATGGATATCTTATTTCGTAAAAGTCGTTACTGAGAAATTTTCCTTTATTTATATTATTTTTAAAAGAGACGTTTGTCTAGCGGCGGTTCCAAAATTCTATCAATGAGTACAATTTTTCAATTAAATGTTCTTGGCACTTATGATATCTAATACTCATTCTACGTCACCAATATTCAAAATTAGTAACTATATTATATTATAGTTCTTCATCATCATCATCATGACCATTAGCCAGTAAAAGTAGATTTCTGAGATAAAATGTACACGCACGCACATACATCATTTTGAAATAGTAGATTCGGAATCTGTAGCCTTCTATTGGTGGAAATATTTTGAAATTTGAACTTTCAAATGTCTCATTGTAACAACTTTCAAATAGGAAGTTTGCAATTGTATATATCCTTACATGGGACTGCAAAGGAAGATTAGAGCGTCGATCTCTTCCAACAAGTAGATTGGTCCTTTGAGCAGGATCGAGCGAGCTCCTTGTGAACCGCGACGCGCGTCGTTTACACATCGGGCCTTCCATCGCACCAGCTCTAGTTCAAATAGCATCGTCTGCTTGCAAACGACCTGGAAGCACATGTTAAAAAAGCACTAAATGTATATAAATAAGAAAAATTAATTTAAAAAATGGTAAAAATGTCTTTAATATATAAGTTGAAATAAAATTGACAATTAATATTAAAAATAGTTTCACTTCCTAAAATCAAATTACTTACCCGTACTCGTAAGTATTCAATTAATCTATAGTATTAAATAAAAATTATTTTATTCTATTCTAACAAACACCGTTTTTATCGTCGTTATTTATTAAATCCAATTAAAGTTACAGAGCTATAAGCGTCGCAGTGCTGTGCACAGGCCTCTCATTATTGAGAGGATTTTAGAGCAATGAAATGTCCACCGTGCTGCCTAAATGCGTGTTGGCAAACTCCACATGCCTTCGAAATATTTTTTTCTAATTTTTCAGACATCCAGGTTTCCTCACGATGTTTTTGTTGTTCACCGCCGATCATGTTTTTTGTTATAGGATAAGGGTGACAAACGAGCATACAGTCCACCTGATGGTAAGTGGATGCTGTGACACATAGATATCTACATTCGATTAAGGATCAATATGCAGATGCGTCGTCACCCCTGAGGACTAAGATGGAATGCCTCAATCGCAGCAAAATGGGTCTCCGGTTCTCTACACTCACCATACGAAACACAGCAGCATTAAGCTGCTATTTTACGTTCGTTTTCTGTGAGAGCGTGGTCCTTCCCCGGTAGAGCCGACCCATTCATGCTACAACCATAATATAGCCTCAGCGTGGCTGTACCACGTAAAATGCAATGTGTGTGTCTGTTTGCAGTTTCAGTTTCAGTGCCGGCGGGGATCGAACCCGGGTTGCTCGCGTACTGCGAAATTTACAGCGAGCGCTTAGTGCCTGAGCTACCAGTGCTTATAGAGTATTTTTCCGATTTTAAGTCCGATTGACATGACATGGCTTACATTTTAAAATAAACACTATGTATATTTTTGTTCAATCTAACTTTACCTTGTCCCACGTAAAAGATATTTTTGGTTTCCTCAAACGAAGTATTTCAGAAACGGACGATTGCACCAATCTATGTCCTGGTCCTCCCCACGCTGCTGCGAGCTGAAACACATGTATACGGAATTTAAAGGAAATACCACACCCCTTCACAGCACTCGGCTTCTCGGCACCTGATCGATTGATCTTCGATTAAGAATCAAAGTATTAGTGCGTTGTGACCTACCGACTAAGATAAAATGTCTAGTTACTATTTCAAGGTTCGCCTTCTACAGACACCATACTAAACAAAAGCAAGCTGCTATTTTACGCTAGTGTTCTATGAGAGCATGGGCCTTCCCTGGTCGAGCCCACTCATTGATATGTGCTGCAACCATGATATAGTTACAACGTAGTTCTTGAAAGGAATTGCGCTTCTGGGTTGGCGTAGTTTACATGCCTCGAATATTCATCATATTCCTCATAAATATCCTCATATCCTCATAAAAATTTTCTTGGAAGATCAGATCTATCAAGGCTATTTATTAATGCTCATACTAACTGTCGTGTTATCTGAGGGTGTCATTTATAATGTAATTTCAATACATGCGAACATTCTTTGGCTGTCATTTTTCATAAACTATTGTGAACATGTGGAACACTCATTATTTAATCACAATTTCTGTTTACATCAGACGATTCCAAGTTGGCCAGCGACATCTTCCTGATAGCAATTTTTCTACGGGTTAAACTATGGGTTAATGAATTAATTTCTCTTTAAATATACAGGGTTACTAGGAACTGGACAATAACTTCCTCGCAGGGCGTGATAGGTGAGTCAAAATGCTACAAATTTAACCCCCCCATATAGGTATATGGCCGAAAATGAACAGGTCTTGAAATATACGAATTTTAATTAATTTTTAATAATCACCCAGGATTTCGTATTGAATTCTGAACAAACATAAAACCTTTTTATACACTTTCTTTTAAACTTATTTATTTTCTTGAATCTAAAACAAAAAGTATTCACAATAAAAAATATGGGTCGTAATATTTTTTTTTACACTTTATATATCGTCTAATATGAAGAGGATATATTCTGCCTTCCGAAACCCACGGGTCTAAATGTTGGACATTTGACTGGATAGTTAGATGTTGGACTCTTTCAAGTCGCCACCTCCAATCAACTTACATACCTTTTCTCCCGCTAACAGTATTTTCATCTTCCGATTTAGTAGCACACCAAATGGAAAGAGTTGTAGCAGTAATGACGCTGGAACTGATGGCAGCAAACATGGCAAGGTTTTGCGCATCATGAGAGATTGAACCTGCAGATGAAATTGTCGAATAATTTAGTAGGTACCTACGTCGTCGTAAGCGTTTAATAAGTTAGTCGTAAAGTCAAGCGTCTGGATTACATTTCATTGTTTATACTTCGTGGGTTATCGCCGCAGCCATATTATGGCTGTAGGGTGAATGGGTCGGCTCGATCGGGGAAGCGCAACGCTCTTGCAAAATAACAGCGTCACGTAGCATCTATTATCAATATTACAGTTCTTCACAAGGCTACTGCTAAACATAGGTAGTAGGGTAGCTAACTCTACTATATAATATAATAGTACTTATATTATATTAGGGGTCCGAATATTATAATATAGTTCTCACGATGTCGAGCGGGCTTTACTCGTGGTTGAACGCGTACGTACACATTGCGATGGTATGCGTGTCCGACGATACCTGCTTTTGGTTTCAGGCACACGTTGAGACGTATAGACGTATAAAACTAAAGTAAAATTACAGCCTATATACACTGCCCACTCGTTCTCTCTCTCTCATCTTATTTCTGAGAGGGTTTTAGGACAAGGAATTGTCCGCCGCGCTGCCGCAATGCGTGTTGGCGAACTTCACACGTCTTCGAAATATTTTTTTCTTATTTCTCTGACACCTCACGATGTTTTTCTTCACCGCCGAGCACGTGGTAAATCAGCACTTAAAAATGCAACTAACAATTTCATTGGTGCCGGCGGGGATCGAACCCGGTTTGCTTGCGTACTGTAAAATTTACAGCGAGTGCTAATCATCTGAGCTACCACGGCTCATCTGTGTTTACCACAGGTACAGCAAGCTCAGCTTCATGAATTGCACGAACTGTACTAAAAAATTTATAGTTTTGCACGTCTACGCTGAAGCTATAATGACAGAAGAATACCAGCGTAAAATAGCAGCCTAATGCTGTTGCGTTTTGTATGGTGAGTGTAGAGAACTGGAGACAATTTTTACCCGAAATCACATCTTAGACCTTAAGGGTCACAACGCGTGTGCATTTTGATGTTTGATCGTTGATCAGGTGGACTGTGAGTTCTTTTTTAACTCTTATTTTATTAAAAACACAAGACTTTAAGGCTGAAATTATCCACATCAACCAATATACGCGAATGATATTGTGAATAGCAATATGACGGCGCTGTCGTCGCACTAGCGGAACACACCGAAGCCTAAATCGCGCTATCAAAGTTCCGAATCATAAACAGTATACTTGAACGAATTAACTACTGGACCCGACATAAAAGCGGACGTACCTATACCGGTCTTATCAGTAACCAGGAAATTCTAGCCCTGGTCGTTTATTTTTGCGTCAGTCTCAAGCACTTACTTGTCAACAGAACATCCTCTAAAAATTACTAAATTTTCAGTCAAATGGTGTAAAAACTATAGCGGCGGAAGCAGCACTATTTCTTTTCACTTGTAAGTACATTATTTTATTACATTTATTGTTATTTATCACAAAATTTTATCAAATGTAAAATAAAATTTTGTATTATCCAACTATGTTAAATATAGTCGATATTTCCATGTATTGTTGACATCTCACAACCATCACAAAATGGCTGGATTATACCATTCAGAACGAATGACTAAAACTGTGGAGTGAGTCAATATGACATCAACTATTGCTTGACCATGTCGAAAAATATATCGATATTTGACGATATGACCGAATGAATGATGATGTTATTTGTACGATACAATAACACTTAAAATACTTATATAACAGTATTCTACAATCTGATGTCATTACATTTATAATAATAATTTTTATAATTAAATAAAAATATTATAAATGCAAAAATTATAATTATTAGTATCTGTACTTAAAATTTTTAAACACATAAATTACACGTTTTCAGATTTCCCAGTGACCCTTCTCGGAAAAGAAACCCACTTTCTTGCAGAAGCAGTTCGTAGAGATGAAACCCGGATTCTGACGAAACACAGCGCCATATGCAGTGTACATTTCGATACTGCCTGTTTTAATACTAATGCAAAGAAACAGAAAATGACACAAATGAAAGCAGTCTCATTGCTCATAAAGACAAGAGAAAACTGATACTTCCCTCAAGTGATACCATAGCTATTTGTTAGCACTGCGAACTCCAACTTAGGAAGGGTGTTCAGAATAAAAGACTAAAAAAAAGATTACACAACAGACTTTCTTCTGCCGAAAGTAACGGAAACATTGCTGCAACTTCCGTTGTACGAAGACATTCATTTCCATAAATTTGAAAACGACGACGTGAATCACGTCGAAGAATCAACGAAAGCCGTTGCTGAAAAGTATTTAAATATTAGAATTGCTTATATAATAACAAGCGAACAAAACAAATTGTAAGAAACACATTTTAAGAAAGATGATACATAATAAAAGTCAGTAAACCTATTTACATAATTAAAACTTCACAAAAAATTTGACGTTTATCATAACTACAATTGAATAAAAAGTCCATAACAATGTCCCGCTTCTTTTATATAAAAATTTAAATACCGGAAGCTTACCTCACCTTCATTATCCCTTTATTTCCTTTGTCTTACAGCTTATTTACGATACGCCTTTTCTTTCTCATTCATTCATCGATATATTTTATCGACTACGATCAAGCACTAGAAATAGAGTGAGCTTCTACGAATTTTGTATGTGTGTTTTTTATTATAACGTAATAAAATCTTCGTGCGCGCGATCGCGCGTTATTCTCCACTTCGTTGAACGAGTTTGCATACATTTGTGTTTTATGTCGGGTCCAGTGGTTAATTTGTTAAAGACAGTATATACAACATGTAACATAATTAACGCACATCCTGAAAGTAGTTTGTTCAGAATCGTTTACTGACTGACACACTGACACACACTGACTTTTTAGTTAAACATATTTATGCATTGATTATTTATTAAATTAGTTGTACTAATTCCGGAAGAATGTTTTGGTTACAGTACATATCCACGAACACAAAGACTTTAACGTACTTGAAATAAGGTTAATTTTTCTTTATTTTGTATTGAATGACGGAATTTGTATTAATACAAATAAAACTGCTATTTTAAAAGTCTTATTGCCTTGAGTTAAGGTCCATTTCAGTTTGTTTTGACTGTACAGATTTAGTGTGACTGTAATTTACGTAGTTTTAATAATTTTTGGAATAAAAAATTACTTATATTAAAAACGATAGAAATCGATTCAGTAAACGATTCTGAACAAACTACTTTCAGGATGTGCGTTAATGATGTTACATGTTGTATAGAACATCTCCGAACTATCACACGGAATATTGGCCGTTTTCGGGCAGAACACCTTGCCCGGCGGGAGATGTCCCCTTTTCCTTCCACGGCCACAGTGGTGACCACCCAACGTTATCTGAACACGCAACTAACTACCTATTACACTCATTCGCTCCCGAACAGATATCGTCCGCAGTCTTCATATCCTGAAAGCCATCTAGCTTCACAAGGTTCATCGCAGCACTGGAATATTAATGCTACCTGTTCCTTCAAACTACTCTCTGCGCTATACAGTGTTCGGCACGGCTCTGAGCCTTACTGCTCGTCTCGCTTTGCGTGAGCAGGGGAGTGATGTGGCGACGCTGTCGTCGCGCCTCAAGTGGAACACACCGAAGCCTAAATCGCGCTATCAAAGTTCCGAATCATAAACAGTATATATAAAACATCTCCGAACTCCGAACTCCGACCAATCACACGGAGTGTTGGCCGCTCCCTGGGCAGAACGCCTTGCCCGGAGGGAGATCTCCCATTTTCCTTCTACGGCCACAGCAATTTTAAGTGCTTGTTTTTCACTTCATCGGCGGTAAAGGAAGTGATAAAAAATCAAGAAATAAATTATTTGAAGGACAAGTTAGTCCGCCCACGCGAGTTCTTCCAGAACATTCCTTCTACACGCGGCAGATAATTACTATTTATCCCATACAGAAATGAAAGGACAAAAGTAAAAGATTTAAAATTTTAAGAAATTCTTGGAAGTATTGTTTGGAAACAATTTATTTTATCTTATTACACCTGTAGTTTACGTATAATTAAAACGATGCACCTAAGTAATTGATTGGGCCACCCAAAGCACACCTGCTTATAGAATAGATACACAAACTGTCGTTTTTAGATGGGATCGTTTTATCGCTCCTTTAAATTGGCCATTGTTATTTATTGATGCTATTGTCTTGGTTAAGTCCTTGGGTTAAGCGTCTGAATAATTAAGCCGGGATAAATTTAGAATGACATGAACAGAAATGATGCGGTGATATAAGAGAAATCATCTTCACATTTTGTGATGTAGATAAGTAACGACCCATATTAATAATTACATTTTTAGGGTCGTGTTAAAACAATAGTAGTCATATTTTTTATTTATATTTTATAAATTAAGCCGCTTAGCATAAGGTGTACCTTAATTTTGTTTTTCACTCCTATTTTATAAAATAATGTCTTTCATGACGATTAGAAATTGATTGAAACAAACTCAGGTTTTAAAAAAATATTGCTATTTTTCCACGGCTGAAAGAAGAAATTGTACATATGTACGTTAAGGGTAAAGGTTGTTTATGTGTGCAAACGAATGTTTTAATTTATCTCCAAAACGGTTTGACCGATCAAGGTTTTCTGTAAAGGGTTTGTGATTAATATTTCAGTGACAGAACAGGCCACCTTTTTTATAGGATAAGGGTAACAAACGAGCACACAGTCCACCTGATGGTAAGCGGATGCTGTGGCCCGTAGACATCTACATTTAACCTTGATTAATAATCAAAATGCAGATGTGTTGTCACCCTTGAGGACTAAGATGGAATGCCTGGATTCCAGTAAAACGGGCCTCCGGTTCACACACTCACCATACGAAACACAGCATCAACACGCTGCTATTTTACGCTGGTGTTCTATGAGAGCGTGGTCCTTTCCCGGTCGAGCTGGTCCATTTATGCTACAACCATAATATAGCCGAAGCGTTGCTTGGCACCCATAGTGATGTTGACCTATAGTTGACACCTGCGACCAACTTTGAACATGGAAACCCCTACCGGGATTTGGAATATAAATAGCGTACATTTACCATAGATAATTCAAATATTTTTTATTATTATTTTGGAAACTTTAATTAACAAACAAGTTAAAAATTACTGTGTAAGTACATGATTTAGATTAGGAAATTTTACTTTTAATTTTTTTTTGATTCTTAAATCAACATTTTTTTCTTTACTAATTTTTTTTTTTTGCGTTTTAAGTAATATAATCCTATTGATATTAATATAACGTTAAATTAAGCTTAACTACACCATCATCAGGCCTGTTGTGAGTTACGCCTGTGAAACCTGGTTTTTAACCCAGAGAGACGAACTGAAGCTTGCCGTGTTCGAAAGGAAAGTGCTGAGAAAAATCTATGGCCCTATAAAAGAGTGTGACGGTATCTATCGTCAACGCATGAACCATAAACTGGACGCACTTATCGGGCACGAGAACATCGTCAGGTTCTGTAAGTCGCAGCGACTGAGGTGGGCGGGTCACCCTGAAAGAATGCCAAGGATAAAGTGGACGCCGCATCAAAAGAGACCGAGAGGCAGGTCTAAAAAGCGTTGGAGTGACTGTGTGGAAGAAGATCTCAGGAAGATGGGAAAGTTTACCAGCTGAAAGAAGGTTGCCAGGCACCGTGACAAATGGAGGAAGATTGTGGAAGAGGCCAAGACCCACAAAGGTTGTAGCGCCAACGGAAGAAGAAGAAGAAGAAATTAAGCTTTAAAAAGTTCCATACAAATATATTTTATAACAGTTTTAGTCCATTAACCACATATAGCTTTTTTTGTAATAATACCTCTATCTACAATTCACGCTCCGGGACAATTAACTTACCGGAACATGGGACACGACTCTTGATTTATCTCGCGGTGTACTTGGACATATGACAACCCTACCGTAGATGTTAAATATAAAGTGATAAAATAACATAATATTAAATGTAAAATAACAGTGAGGAACGACCTTCCAGTCCACCTGGCGATAAGTGGCTCATGTACGCTGCAACCAACTTCAAATTAAGTAGGCAGATGAATTTCCACCTCTGAGGACTAAGATGGAATGCTCAAAGCCTTTAATTATACTGGTTCTATATGTGGTGTATGACTTCACATGTGCGCGTAATATTTTATCGTTTTGGACGTAGATTAAATACTATAATACATACACAATATAGTATAATATGGCTGTGAACGTGGTAAAGCAGTACTTAAAATTACAAAACTTTAAAATTTCAATAGTGCCGGCGGGGATTAAACTCAGTTTGCTAGCGTTATATGAACTACAAAGTCCTGCTGTTATACACGCGCACACACATACATATAATCTCACTCTCAAAGTTCGATGGGACGGAAAACCGACATGATCGGAGAGAGACGAGGCGCAGCACAAACTGATTTAGGTACATGTTTTCTAAGGCACGGACTGAAACACTGCCATCTACCTGACTCCGAGTTACTACTGAGAATTTCTTAACAGAAAAACCCAATAACAGATTTTTGACTTGAAGCGGGATTCAAACCTCGTAATTAGTGGGCGCGCAACGAGGCAGCACGCACACACACACACATACACATACACATACACATACAAACGTATATCATATAGCGCTCACTGCAATTAATCCAAAAGTAGGAAAAACTAACGTGTCAATATATCATCATATGTGTAAAACTATTATTTTTGTCGGTACGATAAAAGCCCATTAAGAGATATGAGGGTAAAGTAAGCTATTTGTGACTTCTAATTGCCTGCTTGCGCTTGCGAATACTTGGGGTAGCAATGCGTTGTAATTCTATGGTTTTGTACTTTCCTAGTATAGAGATCTCAATCAGATTAAAACACCAATTTAAAGCCGTAATTAATACAAAACATAATCTACTTACATAATCATTGTTGTCAAATTCGAGACGTAAAACCGCCACGTAGTAGTTTCCTTCCATGCTCTCGTTTACGATGGTCACTTTGAGTTTAAGTGAGAAAATGTCTTCCGCTATTTCGTACAGTTGTCCTATAAATATTTACAGTTATAATTAAAACAAAGATTACATTTGAATTACAAGCATATTGATTTATAACTACGGAGAAATACATACATCCCGACTATTTTTGGTAATCGACTAATTTACGAATCCTATATTGGTATAAGGTACGTGAGGATAATATGGCTTTGCCGCCCTATCAAACCAAATCTAGGAGGAAGACAGAGACAAAAATATAAAGTCGTATACTATAAATACTATATTAAAAAAAAAACAAACAAGCTCTTTCAATAATTAAAAACACTTCAAAAATCAACTAAAATAAAACTAACTAAACAACTACGTACTAAAATCTACTAAAACATCAACCGTCAAAATGGCGTCGATAAAGTAGAGCCCTTTTCACCTTTTATTATTTGATTGACTGATAAAGAGTCATCTAAACAAACAAACAAGGCTGTAGTTTTTGAATCATTATAGTGTATAAGTGACCATATAAACCAGATGACCATATTAGCCTCACGTACTGTACTATATTCGCTAGCTGTGATATCTGATGCTCTTCCACCATATCCCTTCGCAATGTTATATACTTTACCTCTCTCTTAGTTGAAGACATTATAGCAATCAATCGAATATAAGCAAGCAATATCTTAGTGACATATGAATGTGTTATGAAGTGATGGTAAGTGCTTACTGCAGTCGATGGTCACTTGCAGCTAACTTCAAACAAAGAAGGCTGTACAGATGCGTTATTACCACGGGAAGAATGGGAGTGATGGAATTTAGCAGTGAAATATTTACAGGGTCGACATAAAGAACAATTGAACTGGCATCGCTTTGCTATCCACTACGAACTATGATCCGTCGCGCCGTGTCGAATTGCCGTCCAATTGGACTATGAGGTTAAGGAAATAAAGACTGCACCTGTGCTTGCGCATACACTCGTGCACTATTAATTTGTTCAGCGCGAGATAGTCTTCGTTGATACCGGCCGCTGTTACCGAATTTCTAGAGGACATTCTCATTATCAATCGAAAACTAATACTTACCCATCAAATAATGGGTAAAACCGGTTCTACCACTGCTGTAAACTAGTTCTGCGCCCAGTCTATGAGCGCGTGTAAGTTGCATGCTGGGAGATCGCATGCGTGGGAATGTGAAGCGCATGCGTTGATGAATGCTATCCACGGATTGCAGAAACGTGCAGAAGTAGCGTCCAGTGGCGCGGATCATTGTGTCGTACCTGCATTTCGTCATTCGATTTTTAAATTTAAAGTATACCGATTAACAAATTATAATATGTATTATACTCCTATGCTTTTGAAAAAGGAATAAAGTCTAATTTATACTATAATTTTTTTTAAACTTAAACACAGATTGATGAGTGAAGACTGAATTAAAAAACTTCATTAAATTCATACATATATACGAATACATACGTAGGTCGATAACATATCAACTCGAGATACCATCCTTACCACTTGGATGATGGGCGGTCCACTACTGTACGATTTACAAGAAGGTTTCTTCCTCGCAGAACTTCCTTGTGGTATCGACTACCACCAGCGATTTTTCCGGACTAAGGGACCTTCAAGAAAAGAGTCTACTCGTTTTTAAAAGGCCGGCAACGCGTCTGTTATTCCACTGGTGTTGCGGTTGTTCATGGGCGGAGGTATTCACTTACCATCATATGAGCTGCATGCTCGTTTGCCCCATCTCATATAAAAAAAGAAAGCTAAATAATAAAAAAAAATAAACACCCTTATTCATTTCTCCCACAAAAAGTACGTAGCATTATTTATCTGTTACAAACCTTTTTTAATTATACGAGGGCGGCACTGAAAATTTCGGGAATCAAGTGACACATTATTATTTAAAAATGTATTCATTGCTTTTCGAAGTATTCTCGGCGCATTTTGACAAATTTTTCCATACGATGGAACCAATCATTGAAGCAACCATTCCATTCGGAAGTTGGGGTCTACAAATCGGCCGTTTTGTAGGCGTCCACAGCTTCTTCAGGTGATAAAAATCTCTGTCCACGCAATTTATTCTTTATTTTAGGGAAAGTATAGAAATCATTAGGGCTTAGGTCCAGGCTGTACGGCGGATGGTCTAATAATTCTATGTTTTCTTGCTCTAAAAACTCTTTTTGTTCTGTGTGCGGTGTGAGAACTCGCAGTGTTGTAATGGAGGATGATGAGGCGGTTGCAGTTCTCTTTACGGAGTTCAGAAACGACCTTTGGCAAACAAATGCTAGCATACCATTCTGCATTAACCGTTCTTTGTCCCTCAAGAGGAATAGTCATAACATGGCCGGTTTTGGAGACAAACGTGGCTACCATTTTTTTTTTGCAACACTCCGTGAACGAACAGTGCTTTAACTCATTTTCGAACACCCAAACTCGAGACTGGTTTTTTGTTTCGGGTTCTTACGCGTATATCCAGGATTTGTCACCTGATACGATGTTGTATACAACATTTGAGGATCCTGCGTGGAATCTTTCGAGAGTTCTGACGCACCAAGTAACGCGAGCCGCTTTTTGCTCACAGAGCGAATGCGGTATCCATCGGGAAAAAAACTTTTTACACCTAATTGTTCACGCAAGATTATTTGTATTTGACTCATGTCAATGTCTAAAGTTGCCTGAATTTCGCGGTATGTCACATGTCGATCTTCCTCAGTCAGCTTACGCACAGCATCAACGTTTTCTTGGGTGACTGCAGTTTTTGGACGACCTTGACGAGGATCATGACTGACCTTGACACGTCCATGTTGAAATTCAGCAAACCAGCGATAAATTGTGGTTTTGGATGGGGCTTCATCACCAAATGCAGAAATCATCCGGTCAACACACTGTTTTTGTGTTAAACCACTTCGAAAGTCATAATAAATCAACGTTCTTGATTTTTCTCCAGTCAATTCCATTTTCTCAACGACTTAACAAGTTTGACAAAACCTTGTGACAAGACCGAGAATCTTTTTTTAAATAAATAAATGGCATTCGATTTTTAAAACCAAGGAGTTTTCAATTAAAAAGATTTTAATATGACAGGAACAGTGGAAATATTCCATTCCCGATACTTTTAGTGCCGCCTAGTATCTTGTAAGCTTACTAGGTGGCCATTTCTGCCTGGGAGTCCATCTGGGTCTACATATCTCTCACTCTTACCTATTTCTGCCGCTAACCAGCGGTGCGTGCGCTGCTGTGTTCCGGTTTAAAGTGTGCAGAAAAGCTGTGAGGCATTCCATCTTAATCCCCAGGTGGAGAACCTATGTGTAGCCTCCTTTACTTGAAGTTGGTAACAAACGTCCATGGGCTGCAGTAGTCACTTACCATAAGATGAACTGTAAGTTTTTTGTCATTTCATTTTCATCAAAAAGCTATTACTCGTATAAGAATTAATGTAAAGCGTGAAAAATAAAAAGCTTTCACTTGTTTCTGTCAGTAATATGATACGATAATTTTGTTACCTAAGTTGGGTGTACCATGGAAGGCCACTCTAACAAATAAACAGTTATTATTCGTTTATTTACTGGATAAATGAAACTAACAAATATTTAAGTAATACTTTGTTTTTTTTTACGTAACATATAAACCCGTTTTTTAAATTGCAGATTTAATCAATATAATAAATCAGTCATTTAACACTGAAGTTAAATAAATAGCGTTTAAATCTACAATAAAAAGAAGTGGTTTATATGTTACGTAATAAAACAAAGTAGTATTACTTAAATATTTGTTAGTTTAATTTATACAGTAAATAAACGAATAATAACTGTTTATTTGTTAGAGTGGCCTTCCATGGTACACCCTCCATATTTTAACATCGTCGATTTCCGAAATCAATGAAACGAGGGACCGTACTGCCAAAATAGTAGCGCTAGAGATTCGCCAACGCATCTGTGACTTTCATTCGATGGATGTTTGTGTAAGTAGAAGGAATTTGTCATCACATGGCAATAACTACGGTATTTTAATAATATGCCTTCGAAGGAGCATAAAAATGTTTTTGTTGCAGTTCTCGTAAGCAACGAGACTTATTTATAGACCTATAAATATACAAAGTTTATTTCACTTACCCATAATTACTGAAGAATTTTACAAAGCATCTGCCAAAGAAATGCATAACTTTCTCAGGCGTTCCAAATCTCTCCCGATTAGAATTTAATTTTTCTGCATGGATAAGATTAAGACTGTTCAAGCGTGGCCTGGATCCTAAACCAGAACCTCTTCTTCTGTATACATCTAAAGCTACGGTACAACTAGTCCTTCTAGCCATCTGTTTTTTGTCAGGACCCATATTAAAGTTGTCAGATTTTGGAGATGTAGGCATGGATTCCGGGGTGCATTTGACATCTGTGTCATCGTCGACTTCTAGAATTTTCTCTGGAGCTTCTTTGAATGTGTTACGTTCTAGATTTATAGCCAGACTTCTTCTGTATATATTTTTGATATTTGTTACTTTTAGTTCTTCCCCCTCGTTGATCCTTTCTGTAGAAATGGGTCTTTTGATAGGCACTGTTATTTCTTCAGCTGGATTATACGAAGCTATTTCTTTTTTAGTTGCAGCCGCCAATGCATTGTTAGCGGTGAAAGGGCATTTGAAGGTTTGGTTCCTGTTATCTGCGTCGACAGACAGGCTTCGCCAGCTTTGTTTGGATTTCAAAGATGTTTTCCTAGGTGTTGGACTGGCTGGTGTTGATGTAGTTGGACTATTGGGATCCAAGTTTACAAGTCGAGCCAAGGCGCACGCTATTCTTAGCATAAGAGCGTCTGGATATTGCTAATAATAGAGAAATTTTTTTTAATGCGTTTCACTCTGTAGGTTAAACTAAAATAACCAAAAAATAAAGAAACTAGTCACAGGTTTTTACTAACTTATCTTTATGAAGGCATCGATCAATACAGCGCTTGTCAGTACGAGATAGAAACTTGAGAATCTTTCTCGGTTAGTGGGGAAGAAAGGTTCTGACCATATGTAGTAACGACTTAATAAATCATGCGCTGATAGATGCAAGTGACTCCCACCATGTACGAGTACTGAGCGGGTAGTTCAGGACCGTGCGTCTTGCCAATCTATTAAAGAGGCCTTTATTCAGCATTGGACTTGTGATGAACTGTAATGATGATTATAACGCTCAATACGTTGGTAAGACTCCTATTGTACCTAGGAGTTTTCACCACGGAGGTACCACACTCTTACCCCAAATAGCAGTGCCCGTTCTGCTGTGTTCCGGTCTAAAGGATAAAGAGGGAAAATATAAATACAGGCTATGAGGTCTAGGTCTTTACCTCAGAAGTTATAACACATATGTAGCATTCTTTGTTTGATGTTGGCTGCAGATGTCCATGGACCGCAGTAGCCACTTACCATCAGGTGGACAGTAAGTTTGTTTGTCATTATAGATTTATAAAAAAAAAGTCACCAAAAATCCTCGCATCTTAGGTGCTTCATCTTTCCTCACATTTTTGGACAATTTACATCCTCTTTCTTAAGACGTATTGCGTACAGCAAAGGAGTAAGATAATTTGCTGGTTTCTCTATTTCCGTCCGATTACAATCTGGGCGTCTTCAAGGCGAGAGTGAATAGGCTTTTGTTACGATAAGACAGTGCTCTCTACAATCGAGGGCTTCATCAACATTTACCACTAAGTGGGTTTGTTATCAAGCACTGGCTAAGTGAAAAAACCTGTCAAGATATATTGGTCATTATTGAAAGTAATCGCAATCTATCGAAGACAATAAGATTTTTACCAGCGTTGAACCTATTGGATGGAACTAGGAATGCCAGATCGAAAGACCAAAATGTCTAGAAAAAAATTGAAAATTTCGGAATTTTGGGGTTGTTATCGGGAGAAAACAACATTAAAACGTTTATTTTTTAAATTAATAGACTACAATTAGACTTAATATTGTTGACACATAACTGATTTACGTAAACTTAATTTTTAAATCGCCACATGTACTTGGCATTTTACTTTACTAGAGTCCACCAATTTCGATCCTTTAGTAGTATTAAGAAAATATTTAAAATTCAAACAATATACATATTTCAAAGTTCAGTCTAATTACTAACTCAGCTTTTATTAAATGAAAGGCTTCGACGAACTCTCTCTTTGGGTTATAAATTATTTAGAAAACTAAACATCATTCCATAGTAAGCATTGCTGACAGGAATTGACAACACAAATGATTTAATTTTATTTTATATTTTTGAGGTAGTTTTGGTTGCATTTTTTTAATATGAGCAAATTTAGGCATGTATCACTTTCCAAAGATAAAATTTCTGCTTGAAAGTCCAACATTACGCTGTGTATAAATATGCTTTTAAAATTCCTTCATGATTGCATTCGTTAACCTGTCCATCTGGCAACCCTAGATGGTACGTGGAAAAGGAACATAGCTGTATATATTACCTGGGTAGCGCCGAATACAGTATTTCTGGCTCCAGACTCGCGAAGTATCGTTTCCCATATTTCTTCCCCACATTCTTGCTGTTCAAAAAAATATAATTTACATTTTCATAGTAACACATATTTACCAACTTGCGAAAACAGATAAAATTTTAAAATCTATTTCATTTTCTAAAAACAGTCTCGTAAATATATGAGTACTTTTAAAGTAAAAGCCGACTTTAAAGAATTAAAAGAAAATAAAATAATTCCCGCATCACTTCTTCTGAAGTCGATTCTAAAGTATATAGAAGAATTTATGCCTCGACTTCCGTAGCTAATATATGGACCATATCATTATAGATCTAGTTCACATGTTGAACCACATCCAAGACCGCACTCGTGAATTGCAAAAACGATATAATTTTATCCTTTTTTGTTTTTTGAATTCGGCTCTTACTTATTATTAAAAGCTTAATAATTTGACCATTTTGAGTAGACTAAGAAATATTAAAAACTTAGATAAAAACTGAAACGTCGTCTTATTACTTAGATTAGAAATTACATTCCTTATTTTTTCATCCTTAGGTAAAAATCTCAAATTTATACGGCACCACCAAACCACCACGAAAACTATTTCGTAAAAAGAAGCATTGAAATCGCTTCACATCAGCGAACATAAAATATATAAAACATAAAGAATGTTTCTACCTATGTCCGTTATAGACTGAAACCACCTAACCGATGTGCCCCAAATCATTTTCATTAAAGGCAATAATGCGAAGATGGGTTTAGACCACTAAAACAATGTATTAGTTATTTATTCTGTAGTATTAAGAACTACATAAAAACATTAACAAAATTTTCTTTTTTTCCAAGAAATGAACGAAAAGTATTTCCTTTTTAACGTAGCAGCACACGCCGTGTATCCGCTAGTAATATCATGTACAAGGAAAACTTTCAGTCTAATTAAAAACTCCCTTACTTAGAGCATACATAAGAAGGCTGTGTATACTCAAATTCCCTCCTAATTTGAAGTACCAAATCTAAAAAGGTAGATGAAACTACCATTAATAAAGTAGTTATGAGTATAACTATAAATAACTACTTTGAATTATTTAAATTCGCCACTTTTAGTTGAGTTTTAAAACTATTTTAAAAACAAATTTAAATAAAAAGTTGGTTTTTCATTTTTTTATAGGATAAAGGTGACTAACGAGCACATAGTCCACCTGATGGTAGTAGTTGCTGTGGCCCATAGATATCTATATCTATCCTCGTCTACTAATCAAAGGCAAATGCGTTGTCACTCGTGAGTAGTAAGATGGAATGCGTCATTTACAGTAAAAGGGATCTCCGGTTCTCTACACTCACCATACGAAACACAGCAGCGTTAAGCTGCTATTTTACGCTGGTATTATGTGAGAGCGTGGTCCTTCCCCGGTCGAGCCGACCCACTCGTGCTACAACTATACGATTAATATAGTTGCAGCATGGCTCTACCACGTGTATGATATTTAAATTACATTTTTAGGGTTCCGTAGTCAACTAGGAACCCTTATAGTTTCGCCATGTCTGTCTGTCCGTCTGTCCGTCCTCGCTTAATCTCTGTGACCGTTAGCACTAGAAAGCTGAAATTTGGTACCAATATGTGTATCAGTCACGCCGACAAAGTGGTAAAATAAAAATTGGAAAAATATGTTTTATTAGGGTAGCCCCCCTATATGTAAAGTGGGAAGTGATTTTTTTTTAATTTCAACCCTAACGTGTGATATATTGTTGGAAAGGTATTTAAAAATGAATAGGGGTTTACTAAAATCATTTTTTGATAATGTCAATAATTTCGGAAATAATCGCTCCAAAAGTAAAAAGCAATGTGTCCCCCCACCTCTAACTTTTGAACCATAAGTTTAGAAAATATGTAAAAATTCTGAAAAGTAGAACTTTATAAGGACTTTCTAGGAAAATCATTTTGAACTTGGATGGAAACAACAGTTTTTGTACAAACTCATTAGTGGGAACACTTATTGTGACGGACGGGAAACTACGGAACCCTACACTGAGCGTGGCCCGACACGCTCTTGGCCGGTTTTTATGAAAGATGTCTGATGATGACTGGCTGCTGCAGTCCATTGAAAACTGCCACCAACTTTAAATGAAAAGGGGTACAGATGTTTGTCACCTCTGAGGACTAAGATGGAATGCCGCCCAGCCTGGCTTCAACCCTTCAGACTTCAGACTGGAACACAGCAGTGCAAGCACAGCTGCTTGGCAGCGGAAAGAGTTAAGAGGGTGGAGTTTTTCCAGACGAACTCCTTACTACCAAGGGGGAGGTCTTATCACCTAGTGATAATTTGCTGCAGTGTGGCTCCGCTACGTATGAAAGTTCATATCCGCCATTTTTGTTGTCGACGTCACATAATTTGTATTTCTCACGTTGATAAGACAATTCGATTAAATGTGTCAATGTGATTTGTAGAAATCCGACGACTAGTTCAGTAGTTAAGGCGGAACACAGATACAAATATATGCACACATGCCAGCCTATTGATTAGGTATATTACCCAACATTTCAACCCCGAGTAAAAATTAGCGGAGGAGATAGCTTACTTAAAATAATATAATAAGTGTTTGCTGTCATGAATTAAGATTCCTCTTATAACTTTCTGGGAGCTGCACTCTTACTTCTAAGATAATTAATAGAATCAGTCGGTACTTTAGGGGAGTCCATTATATTAAAGACGTTAAAAAATGAATTAACCAAGATCAGCGAAGCTACTTCTAACATGTTACGACAAAAAATATGAAATTTTGGCACGAGTGGTTGCTTCCAAAACATCAATTGTTTCATTGTTTTTAACTTTGCTAAAGCCTTTTTAAATTGTGACCAGCATAACCTTGTTGTGACACTATCAGACTCTAACAAAATACATTGTATGGATTAAATATTTTGCAACTGAGTTTCGTACGTGAGACCCAAAATTGATATTCTGGTGCCATTGATATTCTGGAGACACATTTGCGAATTGCTAATGGCCGGTCTACGCGTAATATCTGTAAGTAGTCGCTGGTCGCGAATTTTAAAGGTCGATATTCGATAAAAGAAAACGATTGCGCAAGTGAAATTGTAAAAATGTTCAAGGTGTGCGTTCCTTACGACGTATGTTGCGATTCTAAATATTAAGCCAGGGTAATCCATGTGAAAAGTCCCTTAATAAAATGCTTAACTTATTACTTACTATTTACTAAAAAAAAAGGACGTACTAAATAAAAAGACGTATATGCAGGCTAAAGTGGCAATGGGTTAGTCACAGAAGTGATAACTGTAGGAGTAGGCGTGTCATAGAGTTCCCCCCCAAACGGGTCCCCGCATTGTCGTGGCGAAGGAGCTTAGTAGCCGTGGTTCTGTCACCCGTGGTAAACAAAGAACCCACATGCCTGGTCTGAGGTGAAGGGCCGGCCCGAGGTGGTCACTCCGAGTTGGCTTGCCGAGACCACTTCGGAAGTGTGTAGGTGGGTTGAGGCTTGAGGGGTTTATTCTATCCCTACCGCTACGCCGAGGTGGAGTCGCGGAGGAAGACGAGTGTAGGTATGGCGATGCGCCACTCGCCCTATCCTCCGCGACTCAAACGGGGCCGTACTGTCGATACGGTGGTGGTATGGCTGCGGGGGGAAAAGAGTGTCGGTATTGCGAGGCGCCGCTCTCCTTCGACCAAATCTTGGTTGGTGGTGGAGCCATAGACCAGATCTGGCGCTGGGGTCTGGAAGGCTGATGTTTCTGAGTGCTTGTTTTTCATGGCCACAGGGTGACGGACACGGAGGCGTCCCAGGGACAGAGTGGAGACCGTATTTAGGTAAACGTAGTGTGAGTGTGGAATGCTTCCTGGCTAGATGGAGCAACAACGGCGGACGGCTGGCAGCAAATGGATGCGCGGAGCCGAAGATCGGGCTAAGTAGCGCGCTTTGGGAGATCCCTATGTCCAGCAGTGGACTACCGCGGGCTAATGATGATGCTGATGATGATGAAATAAAAAAAAGCTGTAACAGGTCTGGGGATAAGCGTTCAGTATCCGAGCAACGTACAAGGTGGCACCAATGAAATCGTTAATGCAATTTTAAGTGCCGATTTGCGGCATGCTCGACGGTAAAATAAAACACCAGTAAGGAAACCTACATGTCTAAGGCATAGAATATTTGAAGAACACTTGAGTTTTGCCAACACGCACCAGAGCATCTCGACGGATTAATTGCTTAACATAACTCTCTTAGACTCATATCTGAGACCGGGAACGGGCTTCCTCATGAGAGGAGGCCCGTTTCCAGAGGTAGAACGTATATAGGCTGTAACAAAACTTCTATGTACTTTTACTACTTTTACATAAGAAATTATAAAGAAAAAATGGATTATAGCTTTATTGGCTACACGTGGGTCGGTGATTAATTGAAAGTCTCATATCAAAACTTAGAGCTGGACGCAACTGATGCAGTATTTGGAGGAGTAAGAGCAAAAGAGAAGATGTTTTTGTAACAGATATTTCTGACTGAATATTAATAATCAAATACAAGAGGTTTCTTGGCAATGCTCTAATTGTTCCTACATGCTAGAATACACGATGAAGATATCCGAAGTAGAACTTATGTGACCGACATACCACATCGGTTTAGTAAGTTGAAGTGTCAATGAGCTAGCAGCCGGCCATATTATACATGAGTTCTTCACTAAATTTAGTGATAACCTGATAAGATTGTGTGGTATATATAAATTAGATTGTTAGATTAGATTTTTAGATTTATTAGATTTATATATATATGGTCCGCTGGAAGTGCATGGATGCTGGTGGTAATTTTTGGGATACGCCTATTTTCTGCAAGATTACTAATGAATGGTTCTATTAATACAGATAATAGTGAATCAAATATTGTATGATTAAAACAAGGCGTTCGTTTTTGTTGCTGTTATTAGCTGTGTTTACATTCTGCGTTATAATCAGATTTCCTGGGTACAAGGATACCTCTTAGCTATTTCTGCCGTCTACTAGCATTAACTTTTACTGCTTTGTTCTGATCTGAAAGGTATATAGGGCTATATAATTACAGGCTAT